TAAAAGGGCACCTGCCGAATACGTCATCCACTTAGCTGTCTGAAGAAGACATCGACAGCAGGCCGAAGGCATGGCAAGGGGGCGCAGCGTCTCGTTCCCTCTCGGCGAACCATGGTTACATGCGTAACCCGAGACGTTCCCCTTCTAGGGAACTCTACGCTGCGCCCCCTAGGGAGCACTATGGGGAACGCAAACCAACCAAACGGGGAATCTGAATAAAGGAAACATCCCACCCAAGTTAAGAGCACAGCTATCACAGATGGCTATGCTAAATGAGCAGAACTAGCCTGGACACATAAGAACACTGAAGAGGATAACAGAAACCTCCAAAGGAACAGAGAGATCCCAAAGGGAAGTAACTGTTGGACTAGAACATGGCTATCCTCGGATAGCAATGCCCCTAAGGTTTTATGAAGGCTTGCAGACCAGATGACATAACTGTAAGAAGGGAACCGACTGAAAAACTACCCAGACCACCAGAGTGGGTTGTCTACTTATGACCCAAAGAGGGAGACAACACTGTCTAGGTAATGGCTCAAGACCGCTACTTAAAACCCTGAACAGGGGAGCAACCATTGAGCTAGCACACAGCTATCCTCAGATAGCTGGAATCCAGGAAAAAGGGAACCACCCCAGGAGAGGGCTAAGTGCAACTGCATTAAAATACAGCTAGCTTCAGGTAGCTGTAGTTGAATAAGCCCTATCCTGCCCCCCTCAAAGGCTGGAATATAACCACCATCAGGTGGCTATACCAAGGGTGTCCCAAACCTGTGTCAGTTCCCAACAGCACTAGGTGGCTTTCCCGCAGACCTGCTCAGAGAGTGGGCTATCTACTTACTACCCTAAGAAGAGTGGGCTATCTACTTACTACCCTAACAGGGGAGATAGCACTGTCTAGGCAAGGACTCAAGGAGACCGTTACTTAAAAACCCTAAGAAGGGGAGCACTCACTGAGCTAGCACATATATATATCCTCAGATAACTACGTAATTGGGAAAGGCTACCAAACTAAAACACACATGGCTAGCCTAGATAGCCCTCCTGTAGAGCTGCCCAAACCACAAAGAGTGGAATATCTACTTGCTCCCTTAACAGGAGAGATAGCATTGTATAGGCAATGGCTCAGGAGACCACTATTAAAGACCCTTTGAAGAGGGAGCGATAACTGAGCTAACACATACTGTAGATATCCTCAGATAGCTATGTCACACAGGAAAGAGCTACCAGAAGCAGGACCGACCGAACTACCAGACCATAGAAATGGGCTGTCTGCTTAACCCCAAGAGGGGAGACAGCACTGTCTGGGCACAGGCAAACAGCATTACAAAATTCCAGGTTTTCCTCTTATGTTCTTGGAAAATGACACTGATACAGTCATACTACAATATAGACAGGAGAAAATATCTGCAAGCTATAGTTATGAAACACCTATTCATGCATATATTTGAACATAGTGATTCAGTGAAAGTGAAAGTCAAACCTCAGTATGTTTAGTCTTCAGTCCATCAGAGAGCAGCTTCACTCCTGAATCCTGCAGGTGATTGCTACTCAGGTCCAGCTCTGTCAGATGAGAGTTTGATGATTGTAGAGCAGAAGACACAGTTTCACAGCATGCTTCATAAAGACCACAGCCATCAAATCTGCCAGAACAGAATGTCAAACCAGATTATTTTCTGATATTCAGTGTTTCTGCAATAACTTATTGTACCCTTAATATTTGGGACAGGAAAAGATTTCATTGTTTAGTGATGTAGAACAAAACGTTTAATTAAACAGCAGTCAGTGAAATTACTCACAGGGCTTTTCTGCAGCATCTCACAGCTGGAATGAGTCTCTTGTAGCCTGCTCGTGATGACGTGAACCTCTTTGGGTTGAACTCATCCAGCACCTTCTCTGACATCAGCAGTGTGTAGGTCAACACTGTGCACATTGAAGAT